GGTTGCTGGATAAAATACAGGATGGGACTTGAATTTTAGATAACAAATAAATATTTTTCTAAAAAAAATATAAATATGTTCCAAATATGGCATGGCCCAAATGCCTGCATTACTAAAATTTTTTGTTGTTGTTTATTTGAGATACATATTTAACTGGGTGTCTTGTATTTTTATTTGTTAAATCTGGCAACCTTATCTGTGTCAACGGTGAGTTTTTAAGTGGAGAAAGTTGCATTCCTTTATTGCACAAATATTTATTGATTGTGATGTGGCAGACCCAAGCCTAGGGGCTGGGGACCTATCAGCGAAAAGATCAACAAGGTCTCTGCCCTCATGGAGCTTATATCATGGTGTGTGTGGGGGGTTGTGATGGCAGAGACAAACAATAAACATGTATAAATCTGATGATTTCAGGTGGTGATTGTGAGAAAATAAGAACAGAGATGTCATTGAAGGTGGTTATGGGTGGGTGGGTGACTAATTTAGTAGAAGTGGCCAGGGAAAGCTCTTTGAGCTGAGATTTGTGAAAAACTGGGCCCAGAGTTTCAGGCAGCTAGAACAGGGAGGCCCAGAGGGACCAGAAGGAAGGGCATGGCAGCTGGAGGGGAGAGAATGAGGAGCAGATATGGGGGGAAGCTGGGGAGGAGGCAGGGGCCAGATCACTTGCAGGGTGTTACAGGCCCAGGAAGGAGGTCCAACTGGCATCAAGTGATTTACATCGTATAAAGACCTGGAGAATGGTTTGTCCAGGGACAAAAGCAGAAGCAAGGGGACCAGTTAGGGGGTTACTGCAATGGTCCCAGTAAGAGGTGATGGTGTTTGCAGGAGGGGATGGCAGTGGAGATGGGAGAAGTAGTGGAGGGACTAGAGGTTTATTTTCATGGTGGAACTGACAGGTCTTGTCAGTAGGGGATGTAGGGGAAAAGGTAAATGAATGAACTCCTAGAAACACTCCTGGGTTTGGGGGAGTCAGTGAGTCAGTGTTCTGTTTTTTGCAGCAGTGCTTCCCAACTGTTGTCATGTCATGGCTTACGTGGAAAACCATATTTGTATGGCTTATGGCTGGGAGGGGCTGGCTCAGGGGCTCCAGCCACCCAAGGCACCATGGCCATTCTGGGCACTATCTCAGCAAGCTTGTAACCCACTCAAGGCAGTTCACCCACTGGGAAGCTCTGCTTTGGGGTGAAATTTTCCACCTGGAGCCAGTATGTGCTGCAAAGGGCCCGGTGAGAGGTGGAAAGTCATGCTGTTGAAGTGCAAGAAGCACTTTCAGGATCAGGACACTCCCTCAAGCATTTGAAATAAAAAACTTCGAGAATTCAAGTCTAAGGCAGATTTCAGAACGGATCTCATCCAATCCCCTTTCCTCCCTCTTTACACAGAGGAGTAAGGGACTTGTCCCAGGTGCTCATTCATTTACTCCCTTTGCTGAGTACAACAAAGGGCATGGAGCTGTGCTAGGCGCTGGGAGGCGATGCTACTCAGAGGGAGGCATGCTTTGTGCACTGGGACACCAGTCTGGAACCAGATGGTGCAGAAATGGAGAGTAAACTACTTTTATAGCAATTGGATATCCAGGAATGCCATCATGGGGCTTGCGGTTCCTCCCTTCTTTCCTCCTTTCTCTCTTTCCTTCCTCCCTGCCTCCCTCCCTTCTTTCATCTTTTTTTTTTTTTTATATATAATGTAACTCTTTTTCATTGTCAAAAGTATTAGTTCAAGATAGATTGAGGCCGAACATCACAATAAAACAGCAGCTTCCTTGGCTGGAGTAATCTGCCTCAGGAGTCACGGCCAGTTCAGTCACCTGACTGCCGGGGGGCCTGTCTCCCCTCACTTCCCTCCCATCTCCTCCTGCCAGAAGCTCTCAGAAGGTCTCAGAGACTGGAATCCTGTTTTTATTATATATCCTTTGCCCTGATAAGAAGAGAAGATGATTCTTATTGCAGGCTTTAGCCTTTTGTTTTTCTGTAAGTCGATTCATTTGTTTACATTCCTCCTGTTCTATAACCCTGTTTCCCTTTCCCTGACGTTCAAAGGCTTGGCCTCTTTCCCTCTCACTCCTGGCTTTTCAGTTATTCTCTGCCTTTGGTTTTATTTCTGTGTCCTTCTACCCCCGTGCTGGGGATGTGCTGGGCCCAGTGCCTGGGGAGTGCGGAATTCATGATTTTCTCATCTTTTCGCAGACAAGGGCATGCTGTGTAACGAAGTGACTTCAAGCCAGATAGCGGCCAGTGGCAGTGAGGTGACACTGTGCTGCACTTACAACGTTGGATTCTCAAATCCAGATTTACTCTGGTACCGAATAAGGCCAGACTATTCCTTTCAGTTTGTCTTTTACAAGGGTGCCACCAGATCTCAAGGTGCAGCTTTTACTCAAGGTCGGTTTTCTGTGAAGCATAGTCAGACCCAGAAAACCTTCTACCTGGTAATCTCCCCAGTGAGGACTCAAGACAGTGCCACTTACTATTGCTTCTCTGCCTCAGTGACACCGGTGCCCAGGAAGTCTGTACACAAACCCCTCGGCACAGCTCAGGGGAGCTACTTCTCAGGGCAGGTCACGTCCTAGACCTGGCATCCTTCTAGCCATTTCGTTTTCCAGTCTGGCCTTTAGAGGTGTCCCGAAGTCTCTGCTGAATAATGAAAGGCCTGGTCATATCCGGGGGAGCACCTGGCTTCAGAGGAGCAGAGCATCTCCCCACTTCTGACTCAGTGGGCCCATGCCACCTGAGCGACTCGTGGTAGGCAAGGGAGTGCCGCATGTGTGAGGGGTACTGTCTTTGTGTCCCCCTGGCCAGGTCACACCTAGTACTGACTGGGGCTTGTGCTGCATTTGCTGTGAGGGTATCAGATGGTGCAGGTGAGGGGTCCATCTAAGGTGAGCCATCAGCAGTGTCTTTATTTTAGTCTCCATCATAATTTATTCATTATTGTGAATTGATCTGTTTTCATTTTAAGAATCAATTTGAACATAAAGTTATTTACTTAAAAAAATTTTCCCCAGTTTATCTTTTCTTTTGCATCTTCTTATATCCAGCCTCGTATTTCTCCCTGATGCTCTCTGACGCCTCCATTTTACTTTAATTAGAGAACATTTTTCTTTCACTGAAGAGCACTGAGGTATCCTAGAACGTTGTCTGTGAATCCCAGGATCCCAGCTTCCAAATCCCTGAGTTTGGAGCTCAGTGGTGTCTCCAGCAGAGAAAATTCCCTCTGGGGGAAACCGAGGATGTGATGTTGCCATAGATACATCCACAGCCCCTGGGCCTCAGCCCCTCCTTCCTCTACTTCTGTTGAATTCTCTGCCTTAACAGAACTTTAGAGTTATTAGATGCAATCTTAGAAATGGAAGAGGCCTTCCACATTATTTTATGGGAAATATGCTGAAGCCCAGAGAAGTGGGGCATCCTCAAGGTCTATAGCTGGAGAGAGCCAGGGATGGGGCCCTGCACTTTCAGGGCTCTGTTCTGGAGCTGCGCCCTGAGACTTTATCACAGGCAGTTTGGGCAGCAGCTTATCTGCACTTCAGGAACAGGGCGTGGAGAGTAGCCACTGTGTGGATGGATGGAAAGAACATAGGGTGAGGGATCCAAAGGCCTTGGGCGAGTGGCTCGGCCCCCTGGAGCCCCTGTTCTGCTGCCTCCCGGGAGTGTCACATGTCTGTCACACAGTCCACATGCATGGCCCCTGGATTGGAAGGCAGCTGCAGTCCTCCCTGGCTCTAGCCTTGAACCTTTTCTGGAGGCTCCTTTCAGTGGAAGAAATTCATGGTGATATGCTAGAATTTTTTTTTTTTTTCCTGGCAAAGTGGGCCAGAACGTGGCTCATCTATATGCTAAATAAAGGACAATCCTGAAGTTCAGTCTACTTGGTATTCAGATTGACACCTGGTCCTCATTTGGGGGATGCAGGGTGCTCTTGTAGCAGGAACTTTGGGCTGACAGTCGTTTTTTTTTTTTTAATGAGTTTTTTCTTTCTTTTTTAAAAATGTTAATAGATTTAGGGGGTACAAGTTGAATTCTGTTACATGTATACATTGTATAGTGGTGGAGTCTGGGCTTTTGGTGCACCCATTACCCAAGTAGTGTACATTGTACCCCACAGGTACTTTTTCATCCCCCCCACCCCGGTGAGTATCCAATGTCCGTGATACCACTCTGTGTTGGGCTGACAGTCTTGAGGCCTGGGTTCCACTCCAAGCAATATCCCTGCCTTATAGAATGACTTTGGACAAAGTACATACTTTTTTGGGGGGGGGTGGGGAGGGCATTCTTTTTTTCCATCTGAAATGAGGATGTGATCCTTTTGTTCCTAGCAACTTCAGAGGAACATCCTAAGGTTACCCACGGTAAGGGATGTGAATGTTTTAGAAACAGGCATTTTCCACACATACAAGACGAAGTTGTGGGGAATCTTTTCATTGTTGATCCTTGGGAGGGCCTGGCTTAGCCAGTAACAGACTGTCCTAAACCCGCTGACTCAGTGCTATTGCCCCCTTTCTTTTGTTGGGCTGCGAAGACGTGATGTGGGAGTTTGCAGTTGGTGATGGCAAGCGGCGTTGTTGGCGATGTTTGCTCTTTCGCTTGTAACCTCCTAACCCCCCACTTGACACTTTGCATGGGTGCTGAGAAACCACAGTAATGGGCTGCTCGGGCTCTGCTCCCTGAGCGGGTGCACCTGGAAAAAACTGTGGCTTTCCTGAGGTGGGAGTCGTAGAGCTCGTTAGCCACACCGAGGGTGCTGCTGTTGTTATTGCTGTAGCAGCAGCGGCAGCCGGAAACCCAGGGCTGGGTCCCCAAGGCAGGGGCTCTGTAGGCTTGGGGTACAGGAAGTCACGGTGTGACCTATAAGCGCAGTTCGGCTTTCAGCTGACTAATAGTGAGTTCACAGAGCGGACTCTCCCCCTGCAGTGGTCCCCAATGAATAAAGCCAGAGATGAGGTGCATACAATGCAGTTTAATAAATGCAACAGAGACATGGGCTGAGAAGAAAGGCAGAAAACCACCAACACCAAAGGCTCAGGCAAAAGAATCAGTGCCCAGTGATCTCAAACTCCCTGTACACAGATTGGCAGGCAAAAGACAGTAAAAATATTGTTTTGATAGGGGAAAGATAGGGGTTGCATTACTATCCCTCCCTCCAAAAACACTTGCTTGAAAGCAGGGCCAATGTTTTTTTTTTTTTTTTTCTCTCACTACAGTGTCTGGAACTTAGAGGGAGTCAATTCACATATATTAAATTAATTAACAGAAAGAAGTACCTTTCCTCTGTATTTTACTCTGATCTTTGCTAATAGATTGGCGAGTACTGAGATGAAATTTTAGAAACCCCATTGCCTGCTCAAAGAGTATTAGGGAAGTCAAATGTAAACTTGTTTGTGAAGTATTGGAAAAGCAGAAAGTGCTGAAACTTTGTCCCCCCCACCCCTTGTCATGCAAAATGTCTGGGGTGGCTGCTGAAGTGAATACAGAGGGTAGGACAGAGGTGGGGAGGAAGAGGTGGATGCTGGTTTGGGGCAAATCTTGGCTTGGTTGAGCAGAGGCTTCCATGTTTAAGTAAAAGGACACCTTCCCCCAGGGCCTATTTTCCTGATGGAGAATGGAGCTGGGAGCCTGTTGGTTCCCACTGTCTACTTCTGAAGGTAAAGAAAGTCAAAAGGAATGAAATACCATTTTCAAAGTGTATCAGTTGTAGTAAAACAAGAGTCTACGTCCCTTTATATCCCCCTATCCTTTATAAAACAACATATACATAGGTTAGGACCATAAACCCCCATCTCCAGGACTTTTGTCTTTCTACCAGGCTGGTGGATGAGCTGGGTTTGTTGCCTTCAAAGAAAAACTGGTTTGTCCATCAGCCAATTAGACAAGGCTGTGACAGGTCAGCTGGAATCAGAAGTGAGAAGCCCAGGAGAAAGCGTCTTTGGACACTTTTGGTTTCTTTCAGGGAATGTGGCCTCCTCACGCCCGTCGCTGCAAGTGAAGAAAGTTGTTAGAGAACCATAGATTGTCAGCGCTAGATGGGATCGTAGGGGTTACGTACTTTTGGGGTGGCCAGCACTTGCCATGCTGGACCGTTGCAGACATCACTAATCTGTCGTGGCATGTTTCCCTTCTACATATGGCTATAGTTCAGTTAGTTCGGCTATCAGTGTTGGCATAAGTCACGAAACCCATTTGCTCTCCTTTAGTCATGTTTAACTCTGTTTTACAGATGCAAAAACCCAGGCCCATAGAGGTGACACACACTGGCCAAGGGAACACACTGAGTTAGTGATAAAGTCAGGACTAAGACTCAGATTGTCTGACTCCTAGTGTAGTGCTCTTTTTATTCAGCCACTGTGTTATTTTACTGTGTCTATAGAACTGTCAGTAAAATAACAAGTGGGCTGGACACTCATTTGGGAATGACTGGGTATGTTTACAGTCCAACACTCTAAGTCTAGGGCTGTGCCTGGAACAGGAGCTGGGGCTGATAAGTATTTGGGGTATTGGAGAAGAAATAAGGGGGATGAGCTCCATAGGCAGACCTAGGCCCTGTTTGAATTTCACGTACAAGATTACCTGAAAAGGGGAATGCAAGTAACAAGCAAATAATTTATGTCTCAGCCCCAGCTTTGTACGCATCTTGAGTAGCTAGTAGTGGGCTATTCACTACTCATGGGGGGGTGTAGGTTCATCCCAAAGACAGGCTGGTCCACACATGGACAGGCTGGTCCTATGACTAGGGAGTGGGACTGGCATTGCCTTTATCTGACAAAGATAGGTTCTGCTTCCCCTCAATATTTTTCGGGTGAAGCTTTACTTAAGGCTTTGCAAATAACCCATGGCCTCTTGGCCAAATAAATAGCAGTGAAAGAAGACTAATTCTCCTTATTTAGCTTCAATTTTCTCTCTGGAGTGGAGGTGGGGTTATTGGCTGGTATATTAGAAAAATAGTACATTGTACTACCTAACGGGTTTTGAGTTTGGCTTAAAATGAAAGGGTAACAGGAGATGGGATATTGTTATGCTGAGTATCTGAGATAGTCCACCTTATTAATTCTAAATGTGTCTCTATTTTCCCTTCCCAATGATTCTTGGTTTCTTACAATTCCTAAACCTCTTTTCCTCACGTGCGGCATAGTTTGGGTGGAGGTGGGAATAAGAAGTGGCTAATTCTTACCTTAAAAGAAAAATAGCTTGGCAGTGAAGAGGAAATTGACAGCAACACTCTTGGCAAACAGCATTCGTAGCCCCAGCACTGTGAGGGACACCGTGTTCACCTTCTCGGTATGAACTATGATTGAACAAGAGTGAAGAGAGTGGCTTCAGGGAGAGATGCAATTCTCTTCCCAAAACTGGGTTTACAGTGGAAACCAGTCTGCCCCAGATCTCCACGGTTCTCCTTGGCCTGCAAGCCCAGCATGGTGCCAGGCAGCCCTCGAGCTGGGGCTCACACCCAACCAGGCCAGCTTTGGAAGCCTGTGCTTGTAGCCAGGCAAGCTCTGCTGGAGGCAGTCAGAGGCTCAAGAGACCCACAGGGCTCAGTATGGTTTTTGTTTTCTTTTAAAATCTGATGCTTTTTGACCTCAGTTGACAATTACAGAGTTTGTTTTAACCCTCAATTCTGAAGTTGGCCCTGTGATTTGAACTAACCTTTGGGTTTATGGCAGCTCTCTGTAGTTTGCTTCATTACAAGCTTCTGTGGTTTCACTGGGTTTATATTATCTGGAACAAACGTCAATGGTCAGGGTTACACTGGCAGCCAAGGGGCTCAAAGGACTGTAGGGTTTTAAAACTGGAGGAGACTTGAAGTAAGTAAACTGAAGACCAGAGGGTGTGACCTGGTTAAGGTCCTACAGCTATTGACACAACCAACATGCTTCCCATTCTGGGCTTTTTTCATTGCACCATGAGGCCAACATCCAGGCATGCCTCTAATATGTAGGAAGAACTAGGGTTCTTAACCCCATCGTGGGCTGGGCTGCCCATTGTTTTGGAATTTAGCACTGGATTAGACTACATATGGACTTTCAATCCCAGATTCTAGTAGTAGAACTGTCACCCATGTGAAGGAGGCAGTGGCTGGTGACGAGGAGAGATGGGAATGAAATAAGATTGGCTTTATCTTAGATTCTAGCTTTTCCTTCCTAGTCAATGGCAGGGTATAGTTATTCCTAAGTCTTGTTTCCAGCATGATGCCATATTGAGAAGTATCTGTCCAGAGTTTACCTCTCTAACTTGCCTTTCCCCCAATTTTTGTTCCCCCTAATCTTCACCCCTTAAAGCCAGATACAACTTACCTGAAGAATTTGTCTTCACTTCAAAGTCTGTGGAACGCACTATTTCATTGTTGTGCTGAACTGAACATGTCACTGAATTTGAATCTTCATACTGACCAAGCTTGACAGCACTGTACTTCCCACTGGGAGTGATGACAACAGCAGGGCTAAATTCTTTTATCTTCTTGGATGATTGGAGATTTATATTCACATTCTTGGGGTAGAAGTCCTTCACCAGACAAGCGACATTTGTTCCATTTTTCATGACAAAAACAGATGGTTTGGTAGTAGGCTGACTTCCTGTGAATATAATAAACTTATTTTGTGAGATGATTATCCACAACTTTGTGGGAGTTAAACAGTCGTGATTAATGCCAATTACCCTGGGGCCAAACACTATGCTCCAGACCTCCATGCATCCTGTTAGTGACCTGGGCTTGTTAGCACTTCCATGAAAGGATGGCCACAGGAGCAGACATGAAATGCAGTCAGTTTGACTTCTAGGTAGGAGCTGCTAAGAGAGGGCTGGAAGCAGAGATGGAAAATAACAACTACAAAGAAATTTCTGGATCATCTGGGTTTCAATTATCTATGTTTTATTAATCAATCCTCTGGACAATTGAGGTCAGCCTGAATATCTGTCTGCATTAGTTGGTTTATTTTAAATGTATGAGCCCTCAGAGGGAGATCAAGGCAGGTGCTCATGCTTTGTGTTATGCCAATTAAAGAATCAAGGGTCTAAGAAGGACTGTATAACTGGTTCAGATGCTCTGAGGATGACACTGTTAGGGTCACTGCAGGATGTCATCCCCATTTTATGGACCAGAAGGGACCTGCCAAAGTTAAGTGGAACATTTCTTACAATGAATGTTAGGCTGAGGAGAGGAGGGTTTAGAAACAGGTTCTGTTCTCATACTCTGCTTCCCTTCTCTTGGGTCATAAACACTGCTTTTTGATTAGAAACTTAATTCCCCCCATCACTGAGACTGAGTCTCACAATAATAATGAATCTGTTTTCTAATTCCCTGAGCCCAGAGAAAGGCTTTCTAAGGACCTGAGGGTTGAACAAGAAATTGGTTGCTGAGAGGAAGCCCATTGGTGCTGCGTGTCATGGATGTGGGTCAGAGAAGCCAGTGCTTGTTTTGGATTGCTTATTTTTGTTTTGTAATTTCTCCTGACTCTGGATCCAGATACAAGTCTCAGGAGTATATAGTAATCATGTGAAATAGATCCTAAAGACCATATGAATTACTCTGTCTCATCACCGAAAATCAAGAGCCTCGGGCTAGAGCCAGGCAAAAGAGAATGACAGGTGTGTAGGGCCATTATTCACTGTCAAAAAGCTAAAGACTGGGGGCTTGATTGGAAATTCTCACTTTCCCTACCTGTGCTTCACATCATCATATTACACTCCATCATTGCAGGAGAAGAAAACCAGTGAAGCAAATGGAGTGTCACTGGGGAGCGTGGTCAGCATCCTGGCAGAGGGGCTAAGCATCAGTTTCATCAATTTCCTTTTCCCCTAAGACTCAGCCTCAAAGGCACAGCCTCAAAGATTTGATTGTAACACTGCAGATAATTCCAAATTTCAAGTGGAAATGATTTAAAGGGAAAAATGAAACACAATACTTTTTGCTCAGATGCAATTTGCTGAACATCAATCAGACTGCAGTCAACTACAACACGATTCTGTTTCCCTCCTTTTCATTGCTCTAGTCTCTCTCTCCTCAAAGATAAGAAAACTCACCAAATCCCGCATTTCCCTGGAAACAACAGGAAATGAAGAACCCCTGTAAGTTTATATTATGTTCTGAGAGGCAGAGACCATGTTCACAGTACCAGTCACTTCTAGGACTGTCAGATTTGCCACATTCATGTACATTTTCTCACTTCTTTATTTCTTCTGAATAAACAAAATCAATATCTAGCCAGGTAAGAGGCAATGCCTGTGCCATTGGACTTGGCATTTTGGTGTCTGAAAGACCATTGTTCTCTGGACTGGTCCCAGGATCGACCCTTAGCAGCTACCCAAATTACTTGAATATGCATCCTGGATTTCCAAACACTGGGAGAGGTGACCAGTGGACATTGCCTCCAGGAGAGAACTGTGACTTCTCTATTGTCCTGAAATTGGGGCTGTGTTTCTACATTGAATGAGGGCTCCTGAACCCTTCTGCCGAGCTCCCAGATTCAGTGCTAACAGGGAAGGTGAGCACATAACTGCTCTCACCAGACCTAGGCCAGGATGAACCCTTGGGGACCATTTAGTCTGAGCCAGCCGTGTTTGTTTAATACAAATTCTCAGAACAAAGCAACAAGGGCAAGACTGACTTCTTACAGAGAAAGAAAGAGAGAGAGATTGAGAGAGAGAGAGAGACTGAGAAAGAGAACTTCTTTATTTAACTCCTTTCATAATATTTTTCTTCTTTTTACCTCCCCCTCTTCCTACACCTTGACCATGACTCTTTTTCCTCATGGAGTGAAGAGACCCTCCTCATCTAAAGCTTGCTTTTTTCCTGGTCCCATGGGGCCAGAACCAGAAGCCTGCCCTGGAGCTTTCTTAGGTAGTTATAAAAGCCTTATCAATACCAAGCCTCAGAACAGAGTTTCCAAGCATACACAAAGTATTTTCTTAAGAGAAATCTAATGCATTTGCCCTCAAATTTTACCCTGATTCTTTGCAACAAACAATGGGTTTCCAAATTAGAACCAACCAACTTCCCCCAAAGCCCCACTCATTCAGGACAAAGAGGCAACAACTCTAAGGGAATATACACACTGAGCTATAGTAAAACACACAACTTACTTGGTTCCACAATGAGTTGAGTCCCCTTTCCGAAGAAGAGCTGTGCTATCAGTGCACTACTCTGGGCATCATTACAAAAAAAACCTCACCACCTATTTGCCCCCTGTCAGTCCAGTTCATCTGTCTGGAAGGGGGTGGGTGGAGCTGGAGACACAGAGCTTTGCAAGGGCTTCTGCGATCTGAGCAGCCTATTTTGGCAGCTTTTTTGATGTCTGTTATCTTTTGAGTATTGACATTTAGGAAAGTCTCTAGGTTTCCTGCTGTTATCTCCTCAACCTGCTATCTCTTGCCCCTAGATCTCGCTTCAGGATCATACTTTCACAGGGAAGAAGGAATAATTTTGGTTTTTCTGAGAATTGCCAAATGGCCATTGTCAGTAGAAATGTAACTCTAAGACTCAAGTAAATCAGTCACAACAGGACTGTGTCTCCAGGGCGGGTGGAAGGATATGATAGTTGGAGCAAGAGACACTGATGCAAAAGGATTATAATAATCACCGATAATCACCATTTGCATAAATGCTTTTCTATTTAACAAACAACTGGTGTCTATACCACCTCAACAAACATTGTGATAAACTCTATGAGGTGATATTATTAGATCCGTCTTACAGATGAAGTCACTGAAGCTAAAAGTGCTTAAGTGGCTGAGCTGGGCCTCCCTCTCAGGTCTCTGGACTCCAGTTTCCATCTGTGGAACCAGAGTGATAGAATAGGGCAGGAAGGAACCTCAGTGGTCACTGTCTAAACCTTTGTGGTCACACAAGGGCTAATTAATAGATGCACAGGGAGAGTTTTGACTCCCTTTCCGGTGCTTCTTTCCATTTAAATCACAGAATTCCTTCCCAGTCATAGGATATTCACACCATTGGATGTCCTTGCTTTTTCTACAAAATTGTCCCTGAGAATTGGTCTGGGGGATAAACAAGATCATAGTGTGCTGAGCTGGAAGAGACCTTGGACAACTTTCAGTCTAACTACAAAGAAACTAGAGTGCAGTGAAGTCACGGAGTTCATCAGTCACCGAGCAGGATTAGAACTTGGTCTCTAAACTACTGGTTTTACGTGCTCCTCATTCTACCTCCCATCCACCACATAGAAGTATCATAGGGTGGGTCTGGTCATGATTGTGGCCTAGATCTGTACATGGTGAATGCATGGATGTTAAGTAAGCAGCTCTCTAGAGTTAGCCAGGTAGAGGGAAGACAAGGAAGAGTCTCTAGAAAAGGCAGTAGATCAAGAAGGCTGACGGAAGCATATACCCTGCCCTGGATTTTATCAGAAACTCAGTCTCTTTTCCTCAAACCATCCCTTGCTAAATTACCTGCTGGAGAAATTTTTCAACAATCTGAGACATGTTCCCAATCTGGTGATATAGGAAGATATCTAATAAAGATAATTGCCAAACATAGTGATTATAAGAAGAAAAACCAAGTTACTTACGTGGTTCTACCTCCAGATAGGTTCCTTTGCCAAAGATCAGAGGTACCACACAGCTATTATACCTACTCCAAAAACTGCTTTGCTTTTCCCTTCTGTTTATGGTAACCCTAGCCCCAGTTGCCAAGTCATGTGACATCCACTGGATGGGATTTTCTGTCCCACCTGGCCTAATCTCTTTTCTCCTCAGTCTTTGGGGCTGTCCTTCAGGATGGAGCATGAGATGGCTCCAATGTCAAATAGAAATCCAAGCTTTTTCCCACGTCACAATCTGACAGAATTTGTGCTCTGGAGGAGAGGGAATGAAAGTAGACTGGAAAGGAGTTTTTTGGTTTGATCAGGAGTAAAGAAACGTGGAATAAACTCTATGAAGTGATGTTATTAGATTGGTTATAGAATAGTGGTTCCTAAGCTTTGGACTGCATTTAGTCAGGGCAAAGACCTACTGGGTTATGTACACCACTCATCTAGCCTTTTAGGGGAATTCCATTTCATATCCAGAGCTTTGCATCATTGCCAAGTATTGTGCAGCAGCCAGACGTCATAGTACAAAACAGAATTAGATTCTTTAGTTGATTTTGATAAACTATTCATGAATACCAAATTCTAGCAAGTTTTAATGAAACACTCACACTTAGAAGACAGTTAAAAATGTCATATGTAAAAATCAAAGTCTATGAGATTGTCTGTATGCCACTCATAAAAACTGAGGAAGGAATATGCATTTTTAGGTCAGTTTGTAACCCATGAAGGACTGCATATCATACTTTGAGAATCACTAACATGGAGGGTAGTTTTCAGTTGACATGGATTAGAAACACGTCAAAAGACTCTGTCCCTTACTGTGTTTTTAATCTTGGCCAAGTTCCTTAAGCTCACTGAGCTTTATCTGCCTCCTTTATAAAATACAGGTAATATCTTCTGTATTGGTAGGTTGTAAGATTAAATTAAAGGGTATATATAAAGCATTCTGTAAACCAGAAAGCTTCAAAGTTGTTATCAGAATATTTGTTAGTGGGGCTGGGCATGGTGGCTCACGCTTGTAATCCTGGTACTTTAGGAGGCTGAGGTGGGAGGATTGCTTGAGGCCAGGAGTCAGAGACCAGCATGGACAACAGCGAGGCCCTGTCTCTACAAGAAATTAAAAACTTAGCCAGGCATGGTGGCACATGCCTGTAGACCCACCTTCTTGGGAGACTGAGGCAGGAGGATCGCTTGAGCCCAGGAGTTTGAGGTTGCAGTGAGCTATGATGATACCACTGCACTCTTAGCCCAGGCAACAGAGTAAGACACTGTCTCAAGTAAAAAAAAAAAAATTTGCTAGGACGGTACTCAGAGAAAATAAGTTTTACCTGAAGCAGAGGGGATGTAATTTCACTAAGAGCACAGCTCCCAGGGGAAGGGTTGTTGGGAGAAGTTGCTGAGGAAGAAAAGAATCCTATTTTTTGGTGTTCTTTGAGATGAGGAGGGTGCTCACTTCTCAGGGCCATGGGTGAGGACTGGAATCTAGTCCTTCTTTGGGTCTTTTCTCTAAGTCAGGTGTGACCTCCATTCAATTCTCCAATCTTCCCTGTCTAATCCAAAATCATAAGTCTTACAGTGGCCTACAAGCCACCCTCTCCCTACCCCATCACCAACCTGACCTAATTTTTGCATTCTGTCCTCATCACTCCCTCCCTCCAGCTGCATGCCCTCCCTGCTATTCTTCACACAACCCCGGCAGCACTGGGTTCTCTCTACCTGGAAGCACACATCTTCCAGATGTGTGCATGGCTCGCTTAGCTGCCCTCCCCAGGTCAAATGCCACTTTCCAACAACGCCTTCTGTGACTCCTCCGTTTAAAACTACATACGGCTTCCTCCCACTAGTATTCTTTATTCTCCTTTCCTGCTTTATTCTTCTACATAGGGCTTATTACCACCTCAAATACTATATATTTTATGTGTTTAGTTAGTTTGCCATCTGTCTTTTGCCATTAGAAAGTAAGCTCCAGTACGGCATGAACTTCTGTCTGTTTTGTTCTTGCTGCTTCCCTGGCACCTAGAATAGTGCTTGGCACATGATGACAGTGACTTGTCACAGGTTGCAGAGCTGGGACTCAGACTTGGCTCTGCAGATTCCCAGCTTACTTCCATTTCTATTTCCTTTGGCCCTACACCTCTGATTCATGCATTCCTTTATGCATTTATTTACTTATTCGACAAACATTTATTTAGTGCCTTCAGTGTATTTGTAGATATAGTAAGAAACAACTCAAAATCCTTGCTCTCATGGAGCGAGGGAGACAGACCGTCAATGAGCATATACAGTTTTGGGTGGACGTGAGCTACGAACAGTATAGCAGAAAGGGGTCTGCAGAATGACAGAGGGTGGTTGGGAAAGGCCTCACTGGAAGTGACATTTGGTAGGGACCTGGAGGAGGGGAGGGAGAAAGTTATGTGAGACCCCTGGAGAAAGTGGTTCCAGGGTCGAGGGATCTGCAGGTGCAAAGGCTGTGTTCTGGGAGATGCCCATCGGGGTGGGAGGGAATGCCAAAGATGCCAGGCAAGAGCCAGTGGGAGGGAGGAATGGGAAAGTCATCTCTTGGAAGTTTGGAAACATGTGGATGAGTCCAGAATTTTGTGAACTCCTCTTTCTTGGCAGGAAGGGTAACGCTCTGATCATCACCTGGACCTTTCTATGTTTAGGGACCCTCAGTCTCCAGGGGTGTGCTGTGAGGGGGATGGGGAAGGAGAAGGCCTCTGTGGGTAACTGGTTTTGGCGTGGGGGCAGGAGCTCTCCCTTGGTGAAGGAGGTGGTGGGGATGATGCTGGAAGGGAAGCAGCATAACTCTTGTGTAAGATTCAGCTTGGAAAGGAGCTCAGTAGCAGCCTGAGGTGGAGGCTGGGCCAGGCAGGACAAACTTCCACCCGTGCCCCAATTGGGCTGACAGAAAAGCAGAGTCCTTAAGAGCACAGATCCTGGGATCAGACAGATGATTCCAATTATGACTTTGCTAAGCTGTGTGATCTTGGGGAACTCCTCTGAGATTCAGTTTCCTGATCTGTAAAGTGCAAGTGATGGTACCTGATTCCACACGATCATTGTGAGAACTGAATAAAATGACATTCATTAAAATGCCTACCCTGTGGCCTGATAAGTGACAGGCACTCAAAAAGTGGTAGGTGATATAATGATGACATATGATAATAGGTAGTATTCCATGCAGATATCATCGGCGACCATGACCCTTTTCTAAGCCCCTGCCATCATCACTGTCAGAAACACACATTACATTGGGGCACTTTATTCCACGCTGTTTTGCCCCGTTCTCTGTTTCTGCTGTTTTATGAAGTTAAGTGGTGTCCTCTGGTTTACTGTATCCAGAGGGCTGAAATGTGTGACGGGACCTGCAGCTGTGGGTCTGTGTAGACCTGTTCTGTTAGTTTCGTGCTACCTGGGAGTCTTACCAGTAAGAACTTGAAAGAAGCTCCTGAGGAAAGAAAGCATCAAAAGGCTTTGGAGAGGATAAAGGTCCTGGGTTTGCAGTGCTGCCTCTTTAATCCAATATTAGTTAGCTAAAAAAAGAAGACGTCATTCAAAGGTATTCTGGGTCCTGCTCCCTCTACATGCCCCTTATCTTTTCACTTCAAAGGATGATAGAATATACCAGTTCAGTGTTTCCCAAACTTCAATTAATCACATCTTTTTTTCCCATCATATCCATCTGTTATAATTTGCTTAATAATTTTTTAAAAAATTTACTGACTTTTTAACTTAACATGTAATTAAAAGGAAACTTTAAGTCATGTGGGTTTGAAGATCTAGTTGTACTATTCTGATATCCATGACAAGATAGATCCATTAACATGAAAGGAAAGTGTATCCATGTACCATCTAAAATCATGTGCTGTGCGCTCCACCCTTAGGGATATACCAAACCAAGTAAATCGGTAAACAGATGAACTTAATTCATTAGGACTAACTTGGCGAACAAAAGGAGATTAAGGAAATTAGTCATTATCTTTGCTGGAAATGTGGATAAACTACTATTTTAGTGAGAGGTTTGAAAGCCAATGAGGTCTAAAGGCAAAGGCGTGAATTAGCTGAATTTTCAAAATCTTTCTAAGATTTTGATTTTTTAAAAAAAGCCTGAATGTGCCCGCTTTGGGTGTCCCTCTCTTTCTCTCAGGAGGCAAAGTCCCTCTCCTCGCCGCAGTGTGTGAGGTCTGGGGACGTGCAAACCCATCCTTCCCCGCTCTCCTTCACTGCATACACCAGGGCAATGCAGTCCTCAATTAGTTTCTGAGAGAGACCACCTATCACCCTCTTCTACCCTACCTCTCCAGAGCCTTCTTTTACCTTGGAAAACACAAGATGAAAGCCAAAGCCCCAGGGCAGGGTGTGCTGTTTTTTTTTCTAGTAGCCAGTTGGGCAATTTAGGACCATGACCCCTACTGCTAGACTTCCCTAGGACGTTGGAAATGGGTTTTGGTATTGGTTTACTACATTCTCTGCCTTAAGATTAATATACACTATCTAACTGGAAGCTGCTGCCAGGTGGAGACAACTGTCTTTTTTTTTTTTTTTTAGCAAGATACAGTTGAATTCAAGTGTCACTTAACGGACACCAAAAGATGCCTTCTGTGTTGAGCATGATTCCTGCATAACGGTTAATTGGTGAGTGGTTCCCGGCCCTCTTTGTGAGGACGATGGACACTATGCGTCCTTAGGGAACTACTCCTGGCTATGTCCTAGGGAACTGCAAAGCATCCCTTAGTTGGAAGCATTACACATTCACTTTGTTCTGCTTGGAATCTGGTCTCAGTGAGAACCAGAATGTTCCATATTTCTTACTAGTAACCCAGTTTCCATTTGCAGCTCAAACAATCAGAAACAAATGTCGGGAACACATTCCTTTCTTCTAAAGAGAAATACAGCAGCACAAGGGACACTTGCTCTGGCCTCACCCTTCAAGCCCAGAGATGGATGTGTTTGGCCTAAGGAAGGTCAGAATTGTTTATGTTTGGAGTCACCTTGATAGAATCACCCTGACTCAGATCAGCCTCATTCCGGGTCAGTTCTG